TATTTTAACTAGGAAAAAATTGATTACAGCATCAAAGAGTCTGTCCTTGCTAAAAGACAACCGATTAAACAAGTTTAATATACCATTGTGTGGAGCAGCATTTTAGACCAATGAGATTTCACTGTGGGCGGGGCTACACAGCACAATGTGAATAAATAGACCATAAACAACCAGCATAATGTGTAAAGATGGATCAATATGGATTTTTACATCCCTGATTTCAATATCTACATAGAATGTGGATGATATAATGCATAATCCATAATGTTCCATAATGTAATTTTTTTATAAAATATAAATAAAACTTCTGTGCTGCTGACTTTCGATTATTTTAACTTGAAGTACTAAAATAATGGTAACACTTTACAATAAGGTTTCATTTGTTTACATTATTTAACAATATTAGTTAACATGAGCTATACTTACACAGCATTTATTAATATTAGTTAATGTTAGGTTCAACAGTGACTAATACATTATTAAAATCAAACGTTGTATCTGTTAATATTAGTTAATGTCCTTTGAACTAACATGAACGTTAAAGTTAATAAATGCTGTAAAAATATTTTTTTCATTGTTAATTCATGTTAATCTGTTACCAAATGAGATCTTACTGTAAAGGGTTATCATAATAACTAAAACTAAATAAACTAAAAATTTATAAATAAAAATAATAACTATATAGACAAATTTAAAAACCTAATAAAGATAACAAAACAAGAAAATTACTAAAACTTCAACTAAAATGCATTAAAAACGGCTATTAAACAAATGAAATTTAATTCAAAATATTATTAAAAATTATAATAGTATGTCAATGATACTAAAATAACACTGATGTAAATGTAAATATAATGCCAATGTATATACACTATACAATTGATTGACATCACGTGAGATAAACACCTATTTTGCACAGTATTTACTCAAAATTCATTAATAAAATGAAAAGCAGAAGTACTTTATCATCCATTAGTATTTATTATCTGTTGATGAGGCTGTCGGTGGAACTGAGGAGGAAGCGGCTCTCATGTTTTATCAGTCAAGCAGACATACAGTAGTGCTAATAATCCCAAAATGACTAAATATCTTAAATAAATGATCTGATATATGAGTTTATCACTAGTAATATGTAGCTTTATTGTGTCACGTGTTTTGATTCAGTTCACCAGACTGTGGCTCATGCTGGTTTGGTCGATTCTTTCTCATGCAGGGAGCAGAGAGTCACAGGAACAATGGTGTTTATTTTGACGGGTCTGTCGGTCTTCATGGCCCCCATTCTGAAGGTTTGAATTTTCATATTTATTCAACTCTATCTACACTGTATTTGCATACTAAAACTCAATCTTTGTGCTGGAGAATAAGACAGAATGTTGTTTAATGCATGTGTGTTTGCTTTGAGTTCATGTGTACTGCAAAAAGTTGACAAAATATTATTTTTAGCACATATACATGTATTTATCAGTTTCTTTCTCTTCTGGGAAAACAGACCACAAATATGTATGACTCATGACTCTGGCTTGTAAATAACAGGATCATAATTCATATCTGTGATGTAAACTGAAGAGTATTGAAGAAAATATCAGTTGTGTCTACAAAATATTAGGGTATTTTAAGCAATTCTCATTATTTTTCTTAAGTGAATTGAATATAGGGCTTATAAATATAAATAAATATAGGGCTAATATTTATATAGCAGTATATCCACAACTCCATCAAACTTGATTTCTTGAATTCATTTCTGAGGATTTTTTTATTTATTTTTAAATGACTGCTCAATTATCAGAATAAAAAAAGCACAAAAAGTTATCTATCTATCTGTCTGTCTGTCTGTCTGTCATCTGTCTGTCTGTCTGTCTGTCTGT